GAGGTCAGCTTCAGTGGAGGGCAAGGAATCTCCCACACCCAGGCCTCCCTGACCCATAGTGGGCAGGGCCATCCCATGGGGCTGATGGAAAACTGACACAAAGTACCCATTTAGCAAGTTTCCTTTTCCTGGGCGTCAGTTGCCCCATCTGGTTTAGCAGGGGTCCAATGTTGCCCTTGCTTTTCCTCCGGCTCCCCACATATCTAAAAAAGGACTTTTTATTTTCCTTGATATTTGTAGCTAGCTGGAGTCCCTTCGCAGCCTTGGCTTTCCTGATTTGCTCTCTGTAAGTCCGGACTAATGCAGAGTATTCTTCCTTGGTGGCGGTTCCAGTCCTCCATCCTTTATAGGTCCTCCTTTTTAAGACGCAGGAGGTCCACCAGTTCCCTGGAGAGCCAAGGGGGCTGCTGTGCCCTCCTGCTGCCTTTCCTCCAAGACGGGATGGACTTTGCTTGCGCATCCAGGATTGCTCCCTTGAGGCATCCACGTGTCCTGAACTCCTCTCTCCATTGGGTTGTGGCCTTTTAGGACCTCTCTGACAAGCTTCCTTAGCTTGTCAAAGTCAGCTTTCCTGAAGTCGAGGACTTCTGTACAACTGACTGACTTGCCAGCTTTACGGCAGATGGTGAAGGTGATCAGTTCATGATCACTGTCACCCAGCTTCCTTTCGATTGCTAGGTTGCCAATTAGGCCATCCCCAGTTGTCAGTACGAGGTCGAGCAGTGCTTTACCCCTTGGCGGCTTGTAGACTTCCTGCGTTAGAGGTCGTCCACACGAGAGAGAGCTTTGCGACTGCTTGGATTTGGCCGAGCACTCCTCCCATGAGAGATCTGGGTAGTTAGTCTCCCATGACAACCATACGCCGGGATTGTGCAGCCTCAGCCAATTCCCTGGTGAACTCCTGGTTGAGGTCTTAACTCTGGGTAGGGGGTCTGTAGTAGACCCCCACCGTAGTATCTCCTGTGCCATGTTCCCCGTGGATTTTAACCCAGAGTCATCCATTATGGGTGCCAGTGTCAGCTTGCAGGGATGCATAGCTTTCCTTGAGAGCCCCTGCCCCTTTTGTCCACTCGATCCCTCCTGTACAGGGTATTAGCCGTTGATACCTGTGGTCCAGTCATGGGCGGAGTCCCACCAGGTCTCTGTTATCCTGGTGATATTGTAGTTATTTGCATTTAGGAGGAGAAGAAGTTCTTCCTGCTTATTCCCCAGGCTCCTGGCATTTGTATATAGACACGCAAGTGTCCCCTTAGGGGCTCTTGCCTTGCCTACATTTTGTTCCAGGGCTGGGGCTGCGGTGGGATCCCTTATGTGCCTTGGCCTGCTGGCTTTGCAAGGACCACTCGGTGGGCCAGCAGCAGCAGTAGTTCCCCCATCCCCTGGCGGGCTTAGTTTAAAGCCTGGTGGAACAGGTCAGCCAGTCAGACCCTGAGGGGACCCTTGGGATGTGGCATGTGCCCATCCGTGTCATGCTGCTGGTGGGCTGTCTACAGCTGGGACTGCTTACTCTGGGGGGCTCACAGGCAGGGCCTCGGGCCCTCCTGTTCGCCCTCCTGTGCAAACTCCTGTGCTAACTCATGCGCCGGGCTCAGGAGCGTGCCTGTTTGCATGGCCTGTTCGCATGGCTCCCTGGGGGGCTGGGCGAAGTAGGAGCCCGGGGGGGGGCATGACCCTCCTCAGTCCACTTAACCCATTCCCAGCTGGCTAGATCCCTCCCTCCACGGGATCCTGCTTAGCTGCCGGCAGGCCAGTGCTTGTCAGGGGTCCCTAGGCTCACGGGGGCGCAGTGGGCTTACACCCACGCATCTTGCACCAGAGCCGGGATGCTAATGAGGCTTATGCCATTGCTGGGCCCTTTTTAAACTGTGCGCATGCGCAGAAGGGTCGGCTGGCGCCTCAGTGCTTTTGGGAGGTTCAGGGGGGTCCCTCCCCTCCACCGAGGGAAGGAACAGGTGGGTGACTTCCCCCTAACCTGGTATGCACACCTGCAAGGGGGTCGTGTGGCTCCCTGGTGGGCTGGGCCAAGTAGGAGGTGGGGGGGGGGGCGTGACCCTCAGTCCATTTAGCCCGTTCCCAGCTGGCTAGATCCCTCCCTCCACGGGCCCGTGCTTAGCTGCCGGCAGGCCGGGGCTTGTCAGGGGTCCTGGGGTCACTGCTGGGGTCCCTGGGCTCATGGAGGTACAGTGGGCTTACACCCACGCGTCTCGCACCAGAGCCGGGACGCTAATTTTGCATCGTGTCCCACAGGTTAAGAAACACTGATTTTGTTAAACATTTGCATACTGTGTTCATTTAGGGCCTTTCAAAATGCTGTAATGTAAACCATAGAAAATTAGTTAGGGGAGCATGCATTGAAGTGACTGAAGACAAGAATTTGAGAGAGAAGAGTGAAAATCATGACACCAAGAAGTATGGAAAGAAGTATTGAAAGATGGAAAGGCTGAGGCGAGACAAGTATTCTGTAGGGCCTAGTACAGGGGTGGGCAATTATTTCGGGCAGAGGGCCACTTACTGAGTTTTGGCAAGCTATTGAGGGCTGCATGACAGGCAGCCAGGGGCAGATAAATATACATTTTCTAAATTTTTTTAGGGGCCCCGCAGGCCGCATCTGGCCCACGGGCTGCAGTTTGACCAACCCTGGCCTAGTACTACAAGTAAAGGAGAAGAGATGAAAAGTATTTCAGCAAATTATCAGGAACATTTTCTTGACTACTTCATTTAGCTGGGAATAAATTCTCATGAGAAATTGTAGAAGCCCCATTGTTCATGTACTTTTTGGGTTAAAATGTACTTTCTTTACATTCTAGGCTCCATCAGAGATACTTTTGTGTTTGTGGTTAGCAGTGTAACTAGTTATGCAAAATAAGACAGTTTTGACCACTTTGTTTCAAAAAGTAAAAAGTACCATGAGATAGTAAACACGATGCTAGTTTATTAAATATTCTACCTCTGTAGTGATAGACAATTGACTTATCTGTTAAGTGGTAGAGTTATACTAAAAATATTCTTGTTGTAGACTTTTAAATACCGATATACCACTTTTCATTTTAGTTGTATGGAAACATGTGGGCAAAACTTCAGCGAGCATTTGCAATTTGGAGCGGGTTTGGAATGACACTAACTGGAGTACATACGTGCGGGGATTATATGTTCAGTGGCCATACTGTTGTTCTGACTATGCTGAACTTCTTTGTCACAGAATGTAAGTACACGATGTCAGTGCTTTAAACATCCTAGTTTATTTTGAAACTGTAATAGCAATGGTAGTTAAAGCTGCAGGAGGCATACTCCCTTAATATGTTATACTCCACCTGTTTGGGCTGAAAGCTTTTATAAGCGTTAAGCCGGAGAAAGAAGTTGTTTACAAAAAGTCCCTGAGCAGTTGGACCTAATGTGCCATCTAAGTGCCAGAAAGACTATTGTGAAATGTATTTTGGAGATTTTATTTAATGTTTTTTTTCTTTATAAGAACAACTAAAATCCTTAACAAGGGTACAATATAATCACTTATCCTTCACCCTTACCACACAAATGGAGCAGAGAGTAACTTGGAAACTAGAGAGTAGAGGCATTGAGAAAGCAGATACATTTTCTATGGCTGTACAAAATTTCGCTGGCAGTTTCATTTCAACTCATTTTGAGCTCGAAACAGCAAAATCAAAACAAAACAGAGAGCTTTAAAACAGCCTCAAACGAAAACAAGGCAAGTCAAAATGTTTCGAAAATTTCGAAACATTTTGATTTTCGAAACTCAAGCTGGGCTTGCCTGCAGGGAAACAGAAACTAAAGTAAGGAGAGGGAGGGGAAACTGGGGGGGGGGGAGGAGTGCTCTCATTACTGACTGTGTAGCTGGCCAGTGACTGTCATCCTTCCCTGAGGACTCTTCCAATCCCAGTGCTCTGCGTGAGGGATGGAAAAACTACAGAAAAGGCAGCATTGTTTGAACTGCCCTGCTTTCTGCCATGGTGTCAGTTGAGTGAGTGCATACCGCCCCCCCCCGCCCCATGTCACGAGTTTTGCCTGTTAGCAGCCAGAGGTGCAGGGCCCCAGAAGCCCCTGTACCCATCTCCTTGACAGCTGCCAGGCTTTGTGGCCACAGCAGGGGCTAGCAAGCCTCCAGTTTTCACCCTGCTGCAGCTTAACACACACAGTGTCACCCATGTCACGAGTTTTGCTTGTCCGCAGCTTGAGGTGCAGTTTCCCTGAAACCCCTACACCTATCTCCTTGAAACTTGGCAGGCTTCATGTCCTTAGAAGGGGCTATCATACCTGCAAGTTTCATCCAAATCAGACGAGGAATGACAAAGTTATAGGCTGTTTCGAGCTTCCTCTTTATAGCCTACGGGCAAAACAATTAAACCATTTCAACGAAATGAAACGGAACAGCAGGTTCAAATCTAAACAAAATTTGAAACGAAAAGCTGTTCCATTGAAACGCAAGTCAAAACAGAATGGTGGTGTTTCAAACATCCCTAATAGCTATGCTGTTACTTTTTGTATACAATTGGGAGTTCTATTCAATGTTACCAGAAAGACTAGAGCCAGTTTACACTTAGGACTTCTGTTGCAAGCTTCGATGTGGAATGAAGGTATAGTTACAATTTCCTTAATAATCACTACTCAGGTCAGAAAAGAGGCAAGAAAACAATCTATAGCCTGACTTAATTTTATCTGATCCCAAAAGCACAAGAGCAAACACATATTCTAATACTGACGACAACAACAACAATGCAGATTTTCACATACGCCATTATTAGGGAAGAGTCAGGAGGGTGAGACTTGCAGCAGGTTGTCTTGATCATCTACTCTTTCTCTCCAGGCTATAACCTGTATTTTCTACATTTAAATTTATTTAAATTTTTTTGGTTCAGTGAAACTTTTGGAATGAAACTGAACCAGTTATTTATGACCTTTTGCTAGTGTTTAGTTTGATTTGGTTTAGCTGGACATACTGTGTTCTTGCCTGATCAAGCTAATTTCTACATCTGCAAAGGCTCACTTTGCAGTTACTCAAACAGGCTATTCTTCTTTCCTGTATTATGGCTTACTGATATGCTGAGCATGTCAGTCTGCTGTGACCTTAAGTACACACTATGTGATTTAGGCTTATACTAGGTCCAGTCTGCACTTGTTGTGGTGGTGTTTGTTATTGACCACATATGCAGCCTACCGCAGAACAATACCTGTTGGCATATATTTACTGTACTGTACTGAAAAGTATTGTATGTATGTGAAAAATTCTGTTAAAAGTAGCACAACTTATAGTCAAAAGATTTGGTATTGCTGGATTCTAATGATGAAGTTACGTTGAAGAGAAAGTCATATTTCTATGGAAAAAGCTACAACTCCAATGTGACACAGGTTTTGAGAGGAGACTGTTTATATCTGTTAATATGAAAAAGAATCTTTTTATATCCACAAGCCAGCAGCAGTATTTTTCATCCTAAAATGGAGTATTCTTCATTAGAACAGATGTATAAGCCAGGAAGACAAGACTGTTCACTTGAAATAAACCACAACTTTCAATATGCTGTGGAAAACAGTTAATTTTAGGAGGTATGATCCTTTAAGAAGAAATAACACTTGGTAGTATTGCTACTGGAGGATGTTTTCACAGCAGTGGAAAGGGCATAATAAATTTAGTCTTTTATTCTCCTTTTGAAGAATTGAGTTATGACGACACTGCCTTGCGCTGTTAGAATCTTTTTCTCCAACTCACTTTTTCCCATATTAAATCCTTGAATTTACACAGAATATGTACACTAATTAGGACTGACATATGTAAAGTGTCCAATGAGCATCAAAAACAGGAAATAAATAACTATTTTGGAATGTCAGTATCTTGGTCGGTGGAAGGAGCCTAGAACATGCTGTTTGTTCAGTGGAGAACAAGGGTGTGGGCAGGGATTAAATTGCAGTACAGGAAATTTGCACTGCCACGAAAACATTCCAAGAAAGGGTGGATGCAAGTATTCCAACCCCTTGGCTGCAGAGCTACCAAGCTGCCTCAGTAGTCTGCTTTCCAGTCAGGAGGGATAGTGGGCTTCTCGTTGGTTCTACCTGCTCCAGATCATTGAAAGCCTACTCTCTTCTCACCTGCCATGCCTGGCAGTGCTGCTTCCAGAGATCCAGCTCTTGTAGTGGCAGGGGAAAATCCCTAGCCCAAACCTTAATCCTGTCCCTTGCCAAACCATTCTACTGAAAAACAGAGCAGTCGGGTGGAGGATTTAAGGTTAGGTTGAAGAAATTTCTGCTGCCCTTTTGAACGCCACTGGGAAGACTTGTCACTGTTTGAACAGTGCCAGAGGGTCCTGGTGCTGTTCAAAGTGTGGGTAGCTGTGATGCTGCGTGCACAGTTCTGGGGAGATATGGGTTTGTGCAAGGGGTGGAGGGGGTACGTGTACTGTTGTGTGAATAGCTGAGACTCCCTTAGTCTTTTGTCAGGTAGCGGTGGGATTCAACACCACAACTCAAACAGTCCCAGTGCTGTTCAAGTATACTCCCTGACAGCTTGTTGCCGGAGTAGGTCCTCAGGGAGCCAGAGCTCTATCTTCCCCTTGGAGCAGGGGAGGAAGAACAGAGTACTGTGAAATACTTCAGGTCCCAGGGAGCCTGAGATAAGCACAGAGGTGTTACAGATGGTGCTTGAAAACTCTCTGGAAGAGCTGCTAGTTAAAACAGCTAACGATTTTTGTAGAATGCCTGTTTTTATTCTCCAAAAACCCCTTGAACGCCTGCACACTAGCTATTTGTGCTGAGAAAAGGGCATATTTCTCAGCACAGACACAATGCCTGTCTGTGGCCTGAGTCGTAATGTTTTAAAGCATGCATTACTAGCTGCTGCTTACTCAGAGGTTTTGGTAGTGGGTACAATAGAACATAGTTTCTCTGACACAGTTGGATAAATGATGACAGGAATAATTTGTGATACAAGATTTATTTTGGTAGATATATGTTCCCTAGCTCCCTTCATCAAATGGCTGTAAATTCTTCTAGTTAGTCATTTGACATCATGCTTTGGGTTTATTTTGGGGTTTTTCATTTTTTCTGAGAAAAGAACAATAATGCCCACTGAAATTAGTAGGTGACAAATGTAAAAATAATGAGAGAAAGTACTCTTTTAAGCAACATGTAGTTTACTTGATTACTTGATTGCCACAAAGTGGTAGAGGCAGATGGCATAGCCAGGTTTAAAAAGAGAGTGGATGAGTTCATGAATGATAGATTATAATGGTTGGAGACTATTGAACTATGATGCTAATGACTATGATCTCATAGGGATAATGGAGACCTGGTGGGACTCCACCTATGACTGGATCACAGGTATGGATGGCTATACCTTGTACAGCAGAGATCATGTTGAAAGAAAGTGTGGGGGGTGTAGGAAAGTGTACTGCTCCTTCACAGAGAGCTACAAGTGGAGATGGGTGCCCAAGGAGGGTGACTTGATACCCTCTGACCAATGACCAATCTCATGTCCTTCTATGACCAGATGACACATCACCTGGTCAAAGGAGAAGTGGTTGATATCTTATATTTGGACTTTAAAAAAATCTTTGACCTGGTGTCCCATGATGCCCTCATGTCAAAATTGGGGAACTGCGGCCTTGGCAACCCTATGGTCCAGTGGCTGGGGAACTGACTCCAAGGTCAGACCCAGAGAGTGGTAGTTGACAGAACCGAATCAGTATGGCATGTGGTGACCACTGGTGTCCCCCAAGGCTCCATTCTTGGCCCCATACTCTTCAGTGTCTTTATAAGTGATCTGGACTCTGGTGTCAGAAGCGGACTGGCTAAGTTCACTGGCGACACCAAACTGTGGGGAAGAGTGTCCACACTTGAGGATAGGCTGGTGATCCTGCCTGACCTTGACAGGCTCGCAAGGTGGGCGGATGAAAACCTGATAGCATTCAATATGGAGAAATGCAAGGTGCCTCATCTCAGGAGAAAAAATCCGCATCACACTTATAGGCTTGGCAGGGCTATGCTCGCTGGCACCACAACTGAAAGAGACTTCGGGTCATGACTGACCACAAGATGAACATGAGCCACCAGTGTGATACCACAGCTAGCAAAGCAAACAAAACTCTGGCTTGCATTTACTGATGCATCTCAGGCAAGACCCAGGAAGTCATCCTCGCGCTGTACTCAGCCTTGGTGAGGCCGCAGCTGGAGCAGGTGAGACTGCATCCAATTCTGGACCCGCAATTCAGAAAGGATGTAGAGAAGCTTGAGAGAGTCCAGAGGAAACCATGCGTATGATCAGAGGGTACGAGAGCAGACCTTATGAAGAGAGGCTGAGAGCCATGGGACTGTTCAGTCTGGAGAACCGTAGGCCCAGGGGTGTCTGTTCACCAGGGGACCCCTAGGGAAGATAAGGCCCAACAGTCACAGACTCCTGGACGACCATTTTAGGCTGGACATAAGGAAAAACTTGTTTACTGTCAGAGTCCCCAAGACCTGGAATAAACTCCCCTTCCCCCCTCTCCGAGGTGGTGGAAGCACCTACTCTGGACACCTTCAAGAAACATTTGGATGCCTGTCTTCCTGGGATCCTTTGACCCTAGCTGACTTCCTGCCCTTTGGGCAGGTGGCTGGACCTGATGATCTTGCGAGGTCCCTTCCAGCCCTAATGTCTATGAAATCTAGTAACATAATGGTTGCAAAAGATCCCTCTGGCATCTCTAAACCAATAATGGTGGATGCTAGGGAGGGTATTGAATAGGAGATAGATAGATCACTCTAAGATAGCAAGTTTAGCATTCTCCCTCTATAACATCCGCTCCTACAAGTCAGAGACAGTATGCTGGGCTAGATGGACCATTTGTCTGACTCAGCATGGCACTTATGTTCTTAACACAACATTTAGCATTTGCCTCCTTGCTGCTTAACATTTTCTACTAAATAAAGGGTAGTTAGGCAGTGGACCTACCAATAAATTTCTTAAGTATGCACAAACATTTTAGTCTCAGTAAAGGGGAGAGAAGAACATGCATCACTTATTGTACTAACTGTTAGATACGAATTAGTATTAGCAATACAAGTTAGCTGAACTGCTCTAATTCTGACCCAGGGTGAAACCAGGGTTAAAGTCAAAGCAGTTCTTCTGTAGTTGTATTGCTACAGAATAATGCAGGGGTAACAGTTGCAGTTTTAACAGCTTCTATCAGTATCCTTTCATAAGGATACACTTGTAACATCTGTCTATACAGGTAGGCTAAAAATAGGTCCTGGCCAATAGAGTGAATCAGATGTGCCAGTATGACCCCCAAATAGTTGATCTGCTTCACTGAGCAAAACACAGTTTGTTGTCCCGCAGGATTAACTGACAGGGACAACAGGCAGTGTGTTCTTGGGTTTTTCGGGAATTTCTGTCTAGGCTTGGGCCTGTGAACGTCATGTGCCTCCTGCGGCTTGAAGGGCATGACAACCACCCGCAGGTGGTGTTGGCCGCAGCAGTGGTGGAGGTGTGGTGGCGGCAAGCAGGCAGCTACAGCGGTGTCTGTGGCGGACGGTTGTGGTGAGCGCCAACCGGCGATTGGAGACCACCTGCAGACGCCATCAGCAGCATCAGCGGTGGCCAGCAGCAATTGGTAACTGCCCACGGATGCTGCCGGTGGCAAGGGGGGCGGCAGTGGACAATCTCAGGGCGTGCACTGCCAACCTCAAGGGAGCATGTAGACCCCCTACGCGTTGCCAGTGTTTGGGCCCCTCAAACACTGGGAGCACCTCTTGGACATTCCCTGCTGACAGAAACGCACCCTTGGGAACCTCTAAGAGCATCTCAGAAAGTAAGAAGCTTAAGAGGTGTGCCCTCAGGATCTTCAGGGCACATCTCAGTAAGTGGAAAAAGGAGGATTTCCCTGCTTAAGAGATGTGCCCGAAGGATCTGAGGTACATCTCAATAAGCATGGAAAATTGGACAGGAGCTTGAGGGTTCCAGTCCTGTACAGGAATTCCTAGGGTGTGCAGAATTGTGCCCCTGTAGCACCTGCCCAGGGCAGCAGAAGACTATGGGAAGCTCTGGTTTCTCTGCACTTTTGTGCCATGAAGTAAGCAAACATCCACTGCTAAGTAGCAGCATAAAATTGTACCACTTTTATCACAGCTATAAATTTTAGGCCTGTGTGTTATGACAAGTATTTTTATCATGGCACAAAGGCGACATCTGTTTCGTCCTTTAGAGTACTCGAGTGAATCTTCTACTGCGATACAAAGCCTTTGATTGTTTTTCCATTGTATTTGACAGTGTCCTTAATTATTGATCATTTGACCCTTCAAATACATGCACAAATACCTTTAAGACACGAATGTTATGCCACAGTAGACTTAAGTTATACATAATTGACCATGTTAAACCAAACTGATTTAGTTATCTGAATAATTTGCATCCTGTAAAGGAGTTAAAATATGATACCGTGTTCTCTTTTCCCTTTTGTTTCCCAAGGCAGGGTGGCATTTTAGAGACCAATGAATGTGCTTTTGGCTTTCAACAAGTATAAAGTATGGCCTGCCATCTTTTACAGTGCACATCTAAATTAAGTTTGTTTTTTAGTTAAGATTGCAGGTAATGAAGTTTTAAGTTTTGATGCTCCTATATTTGAATTCCTTTGAATGCAAATCAGAGTGTTTCAATAGATTTAAAAAGACAACGTAAAAAAAGATCCATGTATAACTGAACAGTATACATAACTGTAAACGAATGTATTTAAAGTCACAGCAATATTTTGTGATTGAGTGGTTTTTATGTATTAAATAGCAAATGATGATAATTAATTTGTCAGAAGCATAAATTAATAACTTTAAAATCAACTTAACGGATACTTACTTCTAGACAAGTCTGCAATGCCCATCTCTTAAGATGGCTTCAGCTGGATAAGGTGTTGTTCGTCATGACCATAAGGTACTCTTCAGTATATCTGCTATCTTAAAAAGATGCTATCCTTACATTTGTGCTGTAGGTTGTTCTTCAGTGATGAGTAAACTGATTAATATTCAGAATTCTTTCTTTGTGCATTGCTGTTGAATTTGATGGATATGAGTAATGCCTGTTAGATCAAGTAGGTAGTTTCCTAGTCCTCTGGATGCTCTGTAAATGTCATGTTTGATGGGTGTGGGTTTGGTAAATTGCCAGGAAACTTGCGAAACATAGATGAATTCTTTAACGGGGATACCCTGTTCTTTCCTAGATACACCAAGAAGCTGGAACTTCTTGCATACTTTATCCTGGGTCCTGAATCTGTTTGGAATCTTCTTCATTTTGGCTGCACATGAACATTACTCTATAGATGTCTTCATTGCCTTCTACATCACCACAAGACTCTTTTTGTACTACCACACATTGGCTAATACCAGAGCATATCATCAGAGTAGGAGAGCAAGGATTTGGTTCCCCATGTTTTCCTTTTTTGAATGCAATGTTAATGGCACAGTTCCAAATGAGTATTGCTGGCCCTTTTCAAAACCTGCCATAATGAAAAGGCTAATTGGATAAAGACCATCTCCCTGATGTAGCCCAAATATGCACAAAGTATTCATGCTTACATGACTACGGAACTGACTTGAAAAATAGGAAAATAACTACTTCTTGTTTTCATCCCTGAGGTCTCCTAATAATCTTGCTGCTTAGCTTCTCATAATCAAGTTTCTTTTAGTAGAAAGCAAGATTAGGGTAAATAGCAGCTGCCAGTTAATAATTAGGTATCTGAAGCAGAAGTCCTAGTTACAGTCTTTAGAAAGGTTCTAGGTAAAGTAAAACTTACACTTCTGATGTATGCTTGTATTGAATTTAGTTTGTTGCTTGGAGGTCCAAATACTTTCTGGTCCTTGGAATGTCTGCCTGTACAGATAATGTCAAGTAGTAATTCGTTTGCCAGTGACTTGCTTTTAAAAATATTAATTATAAATATAATATTTAAATTGAACTGTTTACACTTATACAGTGAGTTTCTGAAGAGTATTTTGTCATATTGTGGAAAATAGTAGAGCTCCTTACTAAAAAGGGGTCTCAAAGCTTAAATAAGAGGTCTGAAAAATCATAGTGGACACTGCGTGATCTATATACAAGATGCCAAAAAATGAAACCATCTGCCTTTTGAATATGCACTGATGATTTATGGATAGGGCTTTTGTGAACTGTTTATTCTGTTATCCTACCGTGTGGAGGTTTCCTTTTCACTCCTGCATGAGTGGGTAAAAACTAAGACTGTTTTGTTGAAAATAAAGTTGACTTAATGTTAGTGCCACAGAATAACACTGTTCTGTGTGATCCAAACATTTAATTCTCCAGGCTTGCACATGCTTTATGAGCAATTATTTAACCACTGGAAGAATAAAACAGTTAAGCTTCAAGTATTTTAATGTTCCATAAATGGATGGGAATGTGCATGTAGTGATTCAGGAATAGCTTAATAGTGAATTTTAGGAATAGTGCTAACATTGATACTCCTGTTTTAAATTCTTATCCTAATCCATTTGATATCAGCAGAATGTTGAATATCTTTGGATAAAGGTTTTTGACAAATGGGGTATATATAGTAAATGACTGAATTATATTAGTCTTTTCTGGCAGTTTTGAAATTAGATTGGTTCTTAAGCTGCTTGTTTATTACATTAAGAATTAAAATACCATAGGTGATTTACCTTCCATAATATGGATCACTTTTTGTGAACGAGCTCTGTCTGTGCTTATGAAGGGAATAGTAAATAGAACTGGGGATAGAAGTACTGTATGCAAGATGGTTCTGACTTCAGTTATTTAAATTCAATGTTAAGCTTATGCTTAATATAAAATGGTAGTTTTTAATTTGAGAGTTGCAAACTGCAACAAATATTTGTGATTAGCACTCGAATCTCCTATGTCAATTTCAAGTTCAGCGAGTGTGTGTGAAGAGGTAATGAGCCAGTCTTGCAAAGTTTCTGTGAAATTTTGCCAGTCTACCACAAGTTATTGAATCTCAGCTTAAAGCGACTAAAGCATGCTTGCCAGTCGGGTAGGCTTCTATAAGACTTAGTAACATATCTGAAGCTTTGTAATCTGCTTTGATCTCCCTACACCTACGTCTCTCTAACAATCCAACTTTGAACTTGGAATTACAAGCGTCGTTTATCTAGATCATATTTTCTAAACTTACTAATATTTTTAAAAAATTGCAACTTAATTCCTTGGAGGAATTTCAGATACTTATGTATCTGTACCAAAAGTATTAGAGATGCATATTAGAAGTTCTGATAACCTGCAGACACAGGTATTTATAACATTCCATTTTTTAACAGATTGCAGATTTTATATCACTCAAAACCCTGTCAGATGCTCTTGACATCCAAACTGCAGAAGTACAGATGCTTCACCAAAAAAAAAAAAAAAAGACAAGAAAAGAAAAACCCTTTTTCTTTATCACACTTACATTTGCTCTCTTTTTATTGGGTTGTTGTTTTGAACAAGAAATAACTCAAATGTGTTTTTTAGGTTAGGCAGATTTGTATTTGTATTTTGCTATATTCAGGAAACTAGTCAAATTAGCAAGATTGCTGACTGAGTTAACTACGTCTGAATTATAGAATTATTTGAGAATCTTTTATTTTGTTGTATCTAGTAAAGCAAAAGTTTTTTTTTTTTTTTAAATAATTTATCAACCCAACAAAGGCAGTTTATGTAAGGTAAAATACTACTACTTTTCATTTTTTGAAGCTCAAATATTTTGACTTCCGCCTGAGTAAATGTAACGCATTAAAGGCAGTAGTGGTGTATCTTTTTGAGTATTTTTAGAAGATATTTGTCTACACAATTGCTTTGCCTATTAATGCATTGATTCTCTTACTGCTAAGAATCTGTGTACAATATTTGTAATATGCAGAAATTGGTTTCCTGAGAACTGGGAAGTTGTTAAATCAGTTGTTTGGAGATGAACCTGTGGAAGTTAGCCACATCTGCCAATAAACACAAAGTGAATTGTGAAGATTTCAAAGAAAAATCTCACATGTTCTTACTCACAGTTTCCTAAATAACTTGAGTTAGCCTGTAAAGGAATACTGTTGGCTTCATTTTTGTTTAACTTCAATTTTAGAAACAAAAAGGAGGTACAAATTTATCTTTAAATGGAGGTACAGAATTTGTTTTAGAACTTTCACAGTGTTTTATAAGGGCCTTTTCTGTTCATCAGCAGACATTAACACGTACACTTCTTAATATTCTCACTAGAGCATGGGTGAGCTAGGAGGGACTGTTAAATATGGTTGGGTTTGCCTTTCCTTAAGACATCTGTTGGTTGCTTTTGATATCGGCTTTACCTCTGGTGTTTCTACCAGATCACTTGCTCAGCCTGGGAAGAAGCCTACCTCTGAGTTCCTCGTTAGAAGTAGTGTGTGTTTGAGCTATCATTAACTTGGCGCTTTACACAGCAAATGCAAATGAGTGACAAAACTATGAGTAAAAATTACTCTCAAAAACACAAATTAAACTGATCCGAGTAAGGACTTGAGGCTTTGAGAGATCTGTGATTGAATACTTTAGACAAATGTATAAAATTGGGATTACCTTATTTGCATATGTATATTAAAAATGACAGGTAAAGGAAAAATGGTGCATTTGGGCAAGGCTGAATAGTCTTCAAGACTTCTTTATTTAAAATTTCATTCTTCATTTCCTCCCCCCCCCCCCCCCCCCC